TGGGTGGGCCCCAGTACTTAAAATTCTGATTTTAATAATACTATGTTTGGTATTATTTATTGAATATGTATAACATTATTATTTATTACATATAAAACAATAACTTCTACTTTTATAGTACCATCGTACCAAGTGATTCAGCATTACAAATATAGAGTTAAAAATGCACTATAAATAATGAATAATAATATTATATAAATATAATTCATACCTAATCTTGATATATTAGTCAGATCTCTTAAAGTCAACACTTTTCCTGTAATTTTATTTGCTTTTAAATCCATCATTTCAATAATTTTGGATTTGACTTGTGGAGTTACTTTATGCTGATTTAGTAAATGGTTAAATAATATTTCATTCAAATCATGATTATGATCTTCACACAACCGTGTGATTTCCAACATATTACCATTATCATTTATTCTTATGAATATGCAGGCTTGACAATTTTGTGTCATAGTTCTAAATTAAAATACAAAAAAATATTAAGACAACATTTAGTTTGGTTTATTTTTTATAAGTGCAATGTGGGGTAATATACTAATATCCTCAAGTAGGTATAGGTAATAAATATATATAGATACAATTTTTTAATAGTGGACATTATTATATCTTAATTTTATTCATAAATATATTTTATACTTACGATGTTACTTTTTGTAATGTACATGTTTTTCCTTTTTATTCTGCCCTCCATGTACGCATGAATATTTTACATAATAGTACTTCAATGCATTTGGTGAACATTGCAGCTTAACGGGATATTTATTTCTAACAACTACTAATCTTTATTTATTTATTTATTTATTTATTTATTATTATTATTAACGCCAAACGGCAATTTATAGATACATTGTAATAATTAGTAGATTAACAAGAAGTAATAATAATGAAATAATATACATGGAAAACTTAGTTATAATTATAGACCTAAGTTTAAACTTATACTAAACAGTGTTCAGTTAAAAAGGGTACATGCTAAGGTAAAATAAAACTAAAGACAGAACATTCAGTAGAGATAAATAATAACATAATCAGCCACATATCAGGAGCTATTAAGTAGGCGGAGCATTCTATCTAATGGATTATTATGGGAGTAATTAGTACGGTGAGAGGAGACAAGGTATAGGGAATGACTTCTAGTGAAATGCACAGGAACGCGGAAAGAGATAGAGGACAGAAGGTTCAGGGCATCTATTGAGCCGTTAAGGAGAGAGGTGATGAATGAGAGGTCAGCATCTACACGGCGAGAAGCAAGAGTAGGGATATTTAAGGAAGTTCTAACTGATAGGTAATCATGGGGTGGGTGATCAATATTGAGTATAAAAGCGGCGTAGGAAAGGAAGAGGTTTTGGACAAGCTCTAAACGTAATTGGTCCTTGGCTAGATATGGGTACCATGCAACTGAGCCATATTCTAAGACAGAGCGGACAAGGGAAAAATAGAGGGAGCGAAGACAAGTAGCGGACGTGAAAAGGCTAGTGTTGCGCTTTAAGAAGCCCAGAAATTTTAACGCTCTACCAACAGTAACATCAATATGGTGTTCAAAAGAAAGAGAATGAGTTAGATAGAACCCGAGATCTTTGACAGTGGATACACGTTCGAGAGTGGAGCCATTAAGGGAATAAGGATGGATTATGCAAGTTCGTTTTCTATGAAATGACATAACATGACACTTGTTGAGGTTGAGCGTTAGGCCAATGCGCTGGGCCCAGAGAGAGAAAGTATTGAGATCTGATTGAAGTTGAAGACAGTCAGATGGAGATGTGGTTTTTGAAAAAAAATTAATATCATCGGCAAATAGAAGAACTCTAGTGGATGAAATGTACCTATTAATTGAGTTAACGAAAAGGATGAACAGAAGAGGACTGAGATGTCCTCCTTAGAGGACCCCAGAGGGAGTTATAAATAAGTCAGAGTCAACGCTGTGGACTCTTACGAATTGCTTTCTTTGACTTAAATAAGATTGGAGCCATGAGAGTAAAGGATTACCGATACCAAGTGAATCTAATTCAGAGATAATGCGGCTATAAATGACAGTGTCGAAAGCTTTATTAAAGTCCGTGAACACAACATCAACTTGACAATCAGATTCAAAGCTTTTTCTTTCGAATCTTCAAATTTCTGGCACAAATGTCGAGCTTGTTAATCAATTTAAAGATTTGGGTATAATTTTTGATCGTAAATTAAATTTTTCGTAACTTAGGGTTTATTAAGCGTACTGATGCTGGATTTTCAGATCCTATTCCCCTAAAAATCCTCTACTTCTCTCTTGTCCGTTCTAATTTAGAGTACTGCCCCCTCATCTGGATAAATAGTACGTCGAAACAGGCTCTTACGCTGGAATCTGTCCAAAATAATTTTTTACGATTTATCTCTTTTAAATTTAACATAAACAGACCTGTCCACGGCTCATATAATAATGTTTTAAATTTTCTTAATATTTCTCTACTGTCTGACCGTCGTACACTTTTACTCTCTAAATTTTTGCAAAAACTAATTTTAGGTTCAATAGATTGTCCTGAAATTCTCTCTTTAGTCCGTTTTAAAATTAATTACCTTAATACTAGAGATCCAAAACCCTTTTATCCACTTTTTTCAACAAAAAATTATATCTTGAACTCTCCTGCAAACCTTCTTATGACTGCAGGTAATACTTTTGTCTTTGATTATATTTAAATAATAATTTTTATATTTGATTTGTATTCTATTTCTAATTTAGCATTATTATTTTATTCTTTCTCTAATTTTAAGTAGAAACTATTAATTATTGTTTTACGTATTAATGTGTTTTTTCACTCACAATGTAATATTATTATGTTTTAGGACTCACGTCCGTTTATATTAAATAAATAAATAAATAAATAAATAAATAAATAAATGAAATATTATGACGGTCGACAGATCGTAATATCGTATTATCGTATCGACCGGCGTGCTGCCGTCGTTGCGTTTTGAACAGTGGCGGATTTAAGGGTTCAAAGAAAGTCGGCAAATCAATAAGAGGGGCCTCTTACACAATTTATCAGTAAAATACTTATCCCCATTTCACAAAACCGATCTCTTCGTTCGCGAGAAATAATATCAACCAATAATCAATAATATAGTAACAAATCTTCTAGTTAAAAAAAAAATGTTAAGTTTTTATTTATTTTTACAAATAAAACAAAATTAAAAGTAGGTATATAAAATTCCTGTGTATAGAATGTAGATTATAATTAAAATGTAGCTTGACGAAAAACCATGCAAATATATAAAAAAAAGTGAAGCCATTAAATTATTCATAATATTATAAAGGTTTAATACTTTAATTTGAGTTATACACTTTTAAATTTCGTACTACACACTTCACTTTTTGTACTACACACAAATTTTTGGAGCTGCTATGTACATTGGTCGATGATAAAATTACCATTTTATATTCTTCTTCTTCTTGGGTATTATCGGCCACTAGGACCATCCCGTCAAACAACCAATTCTCCATGACTCTCTGTCAGCTGCTTTTGTTTTCCAATCTGGGCCACCGTTCAGCGATTCCACGTCGTTCTTTATTAAATCTTCCCATCTTAAACGGGGTCGTCCAAGGGGCCTTTTCCCTTTTGGGTTCTCTGTCAATACTACGTGTAGTAGTGGGTTCTGACTACGCCATGCGTGACCCGCCCATTGTAATCTCCTACTCTGGATTATGTTTAATATGTTTGGCTTCTGAAAGAGTTCTTCTAGTTCTTTGTTTTTCCTTATTCTCCATCCCTCAGTTTCCTCGTCTTTTACTGGGCCAAAGATCTTTCTTAGGATTTTCCTTTCCAAAATAATCAGTTTGTTTTCCTCCATTTTCCTCAATGTCCATGTTTCTGCTCCGTATGTAATTATGGGACGTAAAAGTGTAATATATAATTGTAACTTTATATCTCTCGACAGGGATTGGGACCCTAGTATCCTTGTGAGTCCGTAAAGACATTTGTTTCCCGATTGGATTCTTGCTGCCACTTCCTTATCAGTTTCATTTTTTTCGGTCAAAACAGAACCTAGATATTTAAATTGTTTGACTCGGTTGAAATCATGGTTGCCAACTCTTAAGGAAGGGTACATTCTGGTACTATCTTTTCTTCCCACCACCATGTATTCTGTTTTGTCTTCGTTTATTTGTAAGCCTACCTTCTTAGCTGCCTCCTCCAAACGACCGCATAATGATCTTAATCCATCGTGTGATTTATCCATGAGGACCAAATCGTCTGCATAAGCCAATAATGCCACGGAGGAACTTTGTAGTGGCATCCCCTCCTGGGGTCCAATATTAGTTTCCCTGATAACCTTTTCTAATACTAGATTGAAAAGAACAGGTGACATTGAGTCCCCCTGTCTTAGTCCTGAATTCACACTTATTAGGTCGGTTTCCGCTTCTCCTACTCTTATTTTAATGAACGTTTCCATAATACATGATTCGATTAACTTAACTAATTTTTGTGGGAAGTTATACTCCCTAAGAATATTTATCAAGCTTTTGCGATGAATACTATCGTATGCCTTCTTGAAGTCGATAAAGAGCACGTGCATTTCCTTGTCGAATTCCCAGGTCTTTTGGAAAAGTTGTCGGAGAATAAATATTTGGTCTACCGTAGATCTTCCTGGTCTAAAGCCTCCTTGATAATCTCCAATGATTTGCTCCGATTTTGTTCTTATCCTTAACAAGATACAGTTCGTGAAAACTTTATACGCAACACTTAGTAGGGCAATTCCGCGATAATTATTGCAATCTTGTTTATCCCCTTTCTTATGAATTGGGCATACTAAGGCTATTTTCCAATCTTCCGGAACTTTTTCGGATAACCATATTCGGTGGATCAATTTCCACAACCTGAACGTCATTTCTTCTCCTCCTTTTTTGAGAAGTTCTGCATGAATTTGATCCTCGCCAGGTGACTTATGATTTTTTAATATGTTAATTTGGAATCTTATCTCGTCCAATGAAGGTTCTGGGCATTCTTGTTCTTCTTCAGCTACTAAGTTAAGGCTATAGACTTCATCAGGTGCTCACAGTTAAGGAGAGTATCAAAATAATCTCCCCACTTTTTGGCTAATTCTTCATTCGTGGTTATCAACGACCCATTGTCATCTTTTAGGAATCTTTCCTTCTTCTTGTATCCACCAGTTAGATAATTTATGCGTTTATACATATCTCTAGCCCTATGTGCTTTGTAGTCTAGTTCAGCATTAACCATTATATTTCGAACATATTTCCGCTTTTCACCTCTTAGGATGTTGCTTGTTTCCCTTAGACGAGTTTTGTACCTTGCGAATAGTTCTTCGTTTCTCGTATCGTTTAACCAATGTTGCCTTGCCACCTTTCTTCTCTGCAGCGCTTCTTCGCAAATTCTATTGAACCAGGGTTTGGGTTTTAGCTTTTTTGTTCCTAAAGTCTTGTTAGCTACATTGCTTAAAGCATCTCTAATTTCTTCCCAACCCTCATCGATATTTCCTTCGAATATTCTTTGCTTACTTTGTAAAGTGTCCTTGATACTGTTTACAAAAAGTTTGCCTATATCATGATTTTCTAATTTATCTATGTCAAGCCTTCTTGAGTTGACTGGATTTTTTTTATCAAGTTTTTTGAGTTTCACTTTTATCCGTATTTTAACCATTTTATATTATAATTCACAAAAACAATAGTGATGGTAGACGGACCGGTCGGCTAGGTTGGAGAGTGAATTGGTGGTGTGGCGGCAATTGCCCGTTGCCTCTATTTATAATTGTATACTTAATTTAATTACAATATTTTATACTTTTAAAGTATTCCTATACATTTAAACTATTTTATCATTAAAACAATGGTAAATTATATTCCAGTTTGAAATATACATTTTTTTGGTTAAAATTAAAAAAAAATCAACTTTATAATTTAGGTGGGCCTCGGTGCATAATTTAGGAGGGGGCCCCGTTGGCATTTGCCGACTAAACGACCGTTAAATCCGCCACTGGTTTTGAACGTCGTTATCGCTGTTTTTGTCGATTTTATAATTGGTAATTATTTCAGTAATAGTTATCGAGGCATAGCTATGATAAAATTGTTATCGACGATAATTTTGTCGACTTGTCGTGCTATATAATTTATTATTCGTACCGTCGGCAGTTTGCCAAAAGTCTCTTATCGCAACAATTTTCCCAAAACAAAATACCAATATAAAAAAGATTTTTGTTTGGTGGGGGTAACCCCTTACACCATCACCCCTAACTACGCCACTGTCCAGGTTTCTGTGAGAATAATGATATCATAAAAGTGAAACATAGGGAAAGAACATCTGAGGCTAACTAATTTTGTTTTAAGACTACGAACATTTTGATAGAATATTTTAAGGTTGCAATTTAGGGTATTATCACAAAAGTTATAATTACAAATATTAGAAAAATTAATAGGTTTACAAAATGAGGCTTTAAAGTTAGTGAAGACTTGCAAGAAAGATTCTAAAGTTAGTTCAGCAGTGTAGCAGCGTGAGCAGTTTGAAGAACGAAGTTTAATTTTATACATACAATTGCAGAGTGGATCAGTTAAGCAGGAGTAGTAGCATGAGTCAGTTTTTCCAGTCTTGTTCAGGCCAAAGAGTGATTGTCTAGGCAGCGACAAGTCGAGTACTGCTAGCTTTTTGTTTGGGTAAGGGCAGAGTTCGATGCTTGATGGCGTCTGTCCTGGGATGATCTGCGGGCCGGTATAATATAGGGGAATCCATCTCTGTATTTGATTACCAAGTCAGATTCACCGTTCTTTTTGCGATTTTTCATATCAGCGTATACAAGACGAATTGCTTCACGCTCATTCGGAGTGCGATCACGAGTAACCGAGATGGGACGGTGCATATTGCCAGTATGAGTTGATCTAATATTTGTATTTTAGTCAGAGACAAGTTTCTGGGCTATTTCTTTAGATTGGAAGAAAACCTTGAGTGGCCGGGGACCTCGATCACTGGGTTTACCTAGCCTTATTTCTTTGAAGTCAGATAGTAATTCGGGAAAGTACGGTTTGATAGCCTCAGTTATTTTTAGGACGTCATTAGAGACTATCTTCTAATACAGAAGAAGAAGATTCTTGAGCACCACGAATAATGACGTTTCGAGAACAGCGCTCACGTTCAGTGATCTCATAGAGAATGCTAGGAATAGTGTCAGCCGAGGAGGAACGACGACTATTGTTTGCGGATTCAAGGTCTTGGACTCATTTGCTGAGACTAGAGATGATTTTTTGGAGTTTGTCGTTCTCAGATTTTAATTCAACAACCTGAGAGGACAGACGACCTAAGCTTTCATAGTATTCAGAAAATTGTGCATTTTGAGATTCGCACAAGCGTTTACTAATGTTCTATAAACAGTTCAAAAAAAAATTTTTAATCCAATAAAAATCGCCCAACTCAGAGTTAATCATTATTTTGAATTTATACAGTTTATAGATGTAACTTTAGAATTGTACTATGTAACTATAATTTTGCCATTCAATCAGAATTTCCATACTTATAACTGTAAAAAGAAAACTATGAAGAAAAAAACAAGTGCATAGTTTAATTATAATTTATAATTAAGCTATAAAAAAAGAACACAACTACCCAAGTGAATAATTTTAATTATAATTTACAAAACTGAGATATGCGTAAATATTATTATTATAAATTACATTAATAACTAAGATAAAATCATAGACCATTCATAATTTTAGGTTCACTACATGATAATTAAAATACTTAAAAATAGATAACTAATTTCCCTATTCACTGGTTAGTACACGATAAGACACAGCTAAATATATATACATATAATATATATATATATATATAATATATTCTTATTTTATTATTTTCATTAAAGTCAAAACTTTAATTAGGTATGTATTAGTTTTGTCAGATTTAAATGGGTATTTCATTATTAAAATGAAAAAACAATTATTTTTTTTTGGAATTATTTTGAAATTTGACATACAAAATATCAGTTATTAAAAATTTAAGTTTTTAATATTATAACTGAAAGCTTTCCAATGTCAATAAAACTTTATTTGATGGGTAAAAATGCTTGAAAATTTAATACAAGGCTCCTACAATATTGTTACAATGACATTTGAAAAATATTAAAAATCTTTAGTCAAAGTTTTTTGTTTATAAATATTTAAAGTTTAAATCTTGACAAAATACGGAGAAATCACGAAAATTAGCAAATTATTTTGAGTTAAGGATAAGTATAACTATAACTTATAAGTATAAGTTTTTCTACCTTTATCAAAAAAAAAAAATTTCCATAAGCATATCAAACTAAATTTTTATGAGCTTTTGAAGTTCATATTTTTACAATATTGGATATTCACTCAATTTCTCATGTAGCGATTTTGTTATTTTGTTGTTATTCAAAAACTAAAAACTGTAGATAAATGAAAATTGTACTGAATGTTTGTTTTCATTTTCTATACTCCATAAAATTTTGAAAATAATTTACTCTTTTTGAGCTGTTTACGTGGATTGTCATTTTTTTCTTCAATTTTTTAGTTTTTTTTTTCTATAAATATCAATACAATTTTATTTGTTTGGTAAAAAAACTTGAAAATTTAACGCAAGATTCTTATTATATTGTTACAATAGCAGTTGAAAAGTATTAAAAATAGATAGGCACAATTTTTTTGATAAGCAATGTTCGAATTTCGAAAAAATTTTTCAAATTTCAAATTTCAAAGTTAATAATTATTTTTTAATTAAAAATTTATAAAATGTTCAAGTTTTATGGCTAAGGTTTGAAAATTTAAAACAAGGTTCCACGTAATATATAAATTACTTAGTTCACAATTACCCGTTTTCGCTCAGAATCGTTTTTCTTATACAATGATATTATATCATTGAATTCAAATTTAACACCATCCATTACAATTGCCCACTTGTAACCTACTGTACAACAGAGTGACACCCACTGGCCTACCTTTGATTATATTATATTTAATATATTTGAACATATTAGATAGATATACATAATTAAATATATACAATTTAATATATATCTATAAATAAATATCCCTTGAGAACAAGTATACCCATTAGCTTTAAAGGGGGACTCGCTGCCCTGACAAAAAACTTTTTTTTCCCGTTTTACCTATAAACTAAAAAAATATTAAAAATCATGAGATTAATGAAAATAAAATGTTGAAAAGTCAAAATGTTCACAAAAATAAACTATAAAATGGTTATCTTCAATTGTTTCAAAAATAAAAATATATTTTTCTTTACTATTTTACCAAAATATGTGAGTCTAATAAAGATAGATTTATAATGTATTTATTATCCCAGGAGATATCGCAATCTATAAATCATCGCCGAGTGCTTGACACTCTGTGTATATAAAAGTTTTAGTCCATATTATATTTGTTTGATATAAAATATTTTTGAATACCTATACGGCTATACATATTGGATTATGAGCTATATAAATTAATTCTCAAATTTATTTTTGAAATCTTCATGATATGTAGTTATATTTATTTTCCTTCATTTGATTTAGGTTAAATTTTTTAAAATACTTCATTTTATTATTTTAGAACTAAAACTGGAGAAAAAAGATAACACAATCTCTTCTCAAACTCTTCAAAATTTATTACTATATGAATTCTGACGAGGCATCTAACTGCTCAAGGGAAAATCCACTGATTGATATCTGAGAGAAAATGTCTACGGCAACCAATTTAACAGCACATAACGAAGAAAAGCCGTATAAATGTGATATATGTGAAAAAAAGATTTCTACATCATCAGATTTAACAAAGCATTTGAGGACGCATACGGGTGAAAAGCCCTTTAAATGCGATTTATGTGATCAAGCCTTTTCTCAAGCACATTATTTAACTCTGCATACAAGGAAACATAACGGAGAAAAGCCGTACAAATGTGATCTCTGTGATAAAAGGTTTTCTACATCATCAGCATTAACAAAGCATACAAGGACACACACCGGAGACAAGCCTTATAAATGTGATATCTGTGATCAAGCTTTTTCTCAGAAAACAAATTTAAAAAAACACACAAGGATACACACTGGAGAAAAGCCGTATGAATGTGATATCTGTGTTCAAAGTTTTTCCCAACCACATACTTTAAAAACCCATAAAAGGACACATACCGGTGAAATTGCGTATAAATGTGAAATCTGTGATCGTGCCTTTTCTCAAGCATATAATTTAAGACGGCATACAATGACACATACCGGAGAAAAACCTTACAAATGTGATATTTGTGATAAGGGGTTTTGTACAACATTAGATTTAAAAAGGCATAAAATGACCCATACCGGAGAAACGCCATATAAATGTGATAAGTGTGATAAGGGGTTTTGTACATCATTAGAACTAACAAGGCATACAAGGACACATACCGGTGTTAAACCGTATAAATGTGATATATGTGATCAATCCTTTTCTCAAGCACATCATTTAACGGGGCATACAAGGACACATACCGGAGAAAAGCCTTATAAATGTGATATCTGTGATCAAGCTTTTTCTCAGAAAACAAATTTAAATACTCATAAAAGGACACATACCGGTATAGAGCCGTATAAATATGTTATTTGCGATTTAGCGTTTTCTAAAGCATCAAATTAAAAAAATAAAACGAGGATACCTACCAGAAAAATGCTATTTATTCAACGCACATAACAATTATATTCGAAATATACAAATTATTTTATAATAAGACCCTGCTTCAACGGAGGCAGCTAAGATCCTGCCACATGGAACTTGATCATCGGACTTCTAATGGTGAATCTGGGCTTTCGGTCAAGTATGTGAATGGTGTTCCGAAAGTGATCTCGGGGTAAAAAAACGGGGAACCTACTCAACGCCAACCAGGTCCAAAGTCCAGCAATCAAAGCACCTCCTAGACTTAACAGTTTCTGGCTTCTACCAGAACTGTAGAGGGCTACGCACGAAACTTTCTAATGTTAGATGTAATGTTGTGTCCCTTAATTATATGTTTATTGTTTTAACTGAAACCTGGCTTAGTAATTCATTTTCTGATTGTGAACTTGGTTTTTTCAATTATAATTTATACAGATTTGACAGGTGTGAAGCAACTAGCACTTGCTCTCGAGGGGGAGGGGTCTTAATTGGTTTCCGTAAAGATATATCCTCTTGCATTGTACCAATTGACTGTTCTAACGTTGAGCAGTTGTTTGTGCGCTTTCACGTTGGATCCCTTTCCTTTATTATTTGTGGTGTTTACTTTCCCCCTTCCTCGCATCCCTCAACTTATGAGTCCCATATGTCTGTTATTGATTCTATTGTTTCACAATACCCGAGTTACTCCTTTATTTTCTGTGGTGACTACAATTTGCCCGAAATTACATGGTCCGTAAATAGTGATGGTCTTCAGTATAGTTCCTGTACTGGTCTTAGAGTTCCCTGTGTCCCTGAAGGATTTACCCTATCAGGTTTCTTGCAGCATAATAATGTCTTTAATTGTTGTAACTCGGTTCTTGATCTGGTGTTTTCTAATCTTAATTATTTGTGTGTTGAACCAGCAATTGAGCCATTAGTCCCTCTAGATCTCTACCATCCTGCGCTAAGTATTAAATACATTACGGTGACGCCAGTTATGCAGTTTGATTCAACCCATGAATTTTTTAAATTTCATAAAGGTCACTATAACGAAATCAATAGGTATTTATCTTCCTTTAGCTGGGAGCAAACCTTTTCTGGTCTTGATCTCAACTCCTCTGTATATGCCTTATATGATGCTCTTCACTACACTGTTCTTAAATACGTTCCAAAATCCACATTTACTAAGTCCTGTTTTCCCACATGGGTCTCTAAGCACATGAAGGATCTTATTTTCCTAAAG